TATATCTCACTTCATCATCATCAGCTCCATCATTATAGACATCATCAACAATTTTGTCATTCTCTGCAAAATCTTTCTGGAAAGGATCATCAATGACTTCTGTATTGGTAGCTGTGAATAGCGGATTATCATGTGTTGTTTCTGTAGTGCTGACTTGTATTGATTGAACTGTTTCGACATTCATATCAACAGCCTCAGGATCTGCTTCTGTTTCTGAGTCAGACTCAGCTTTGTGCTTTGTATATAGAATAAACAAAATAATTGCTGCAGTAATTCCAAGGACAATGACAACAATTAATGGCCAAAGTGCATATTTTCCGAATGGCTTTTCAAAGAATCCTAATTCAACATTTTTAGTTGAATCTTCAACAACAGCAACTTCATACATTATATATGTCGTAGAATAAGTATAATATAATGATCCATTTTCATCATATGTATGTGTGATTGTATATGTTGCTAAAAGCGTCATAGTTGTTGATCCTGTGTAACCTGTTGGGAGTCTTGATGGAATTGGGAAATATGCTGCTGGTGTTCTTGGTGGCGTCCTTTCTTCTTTTCCTCCTGTATTGCCTCCTGGATTTGGTGTTGGCTTAGTTCCATCATCTCCACCATCTCCATCATCTCCTCCATCATCATTGCCATGATCATCATCTTCACAATCGACGTTATAAAGAAATTCATACTCTTTCGAAGTAGAATTTTTCTCGTCATTAACTTGGAAAAAGATCCTATTCAAGCCGCATTGATATCTATCAATCTTAGTTTGAGTCTTAAAATTGAAACAGAAAGGTTTTTCGGTTGATGGACATGTATGAATTATATCATAATTTCTTGTGCCATCAGTTATTTTAGCACTGATATCAATATAGCCATTCCTCATATATTCTGGTTGCAATATACTCATAACTTTCATCAGTGGATTTAAGTTGATAACATTGTATCCATCTCGATAAATAACTGTTTCATCATTTTCAGCAGATGCTTCGACTTCAAATTTTTGATTTCTAACATTCATTGGAATATCAATGAATATTTCAAATGGTTCTGACTTGAAGTTTTCTTGAACGGTATAATTTCCAACTAAATATTTAGACTCTAACAAAGATCTTGAATAACTTGTTGAAGTATATGAGTACTTAACACTGACAACTGTACCCGGAGAATAATCAAGAACATATCCAACAACATGTGCTCTATCACCATATTTGAGATCATAATTCTTAAGTCCTAATGTGATTGCTTTATTTCTCTTTGATGTGAAATAATATTTGTATTCGGATGATGTTCCACCAACTTCATCACGTGCCTGCAAAACTAAGATGTAATTTCCATCTTCATTTGGAACATCAATAAAGAATTTTGCATTCATTGTAGTGGAATCTAAATACTTATATGTCAAATATCTGAATGGTTCTATACGATTGAGTCTGTAATATATAGAAACATTTCTTGCGTATCTTCCATCAATTTCAAATGTACACGGGACTTCAATAACATCTGACCAACGACAAAGTTGACTATCAATAATTCCGTAATATTTGAAACTTGACATTATTGGTGTAGAAATTGTTGCATTCATATAAAATAAGTGAGTATATATATTCGATTTCAAACCATATTCATCTTGTGCAAATATTGAGATATGATAATTTCCTGTTTGATAACCTGAAGGTATTTGAACTTGTCCTCTGTAATCACGAGTAGCACCATTATAAATAGGTTCTTCTTCTACTATCTTCATTCGTTTTGGATTCTCACCACCAAATTGATAATAGACAAATGCAATTGTATCATCCCAAACATTGAAATCGAAGTCAATATGATCATTAAGATAGTATGTATCACGTAATGTTGGTGGATTTGAGTAAACTTCTATCTTCGGCGGATTAGAAACATACAACTTTCCAGCTGCTACTTGGCCGTCAAAGATCCAGATTCCCCATTCAACCATTTTAACTCTATCTGTATTTCTGTATGAAATGTTGAATAGTTCTGATCTATAATTTTCTTGAATTTCAACTCTTGATGCCAAATATTTTGTACCATCAAACATAGCAAATATTTCTATAATAGTTCCAACTGGATAATCTCCAACATATCCCTGCAATTTATATTCTTCTCCTATCGCAATTCCTGTTTCAGGTTCTTTGACGAATTTCAATACAGGTGAGAATTTAACATTAAACTTATAAGTAAATGTTCTGGATTCTGCTCCATTACTATTAATTGCTGCAAGTGTAATTGTATGTAAGCCATTTTCGAATATTGGTTGCATTTTAACATTAAAATAATGAGTTTTAGTATCTGATATGAAAGATGTAGCTTTTCTCCATTCGTTCTCGTTATCAAATTTGTAGCATATATAAACGCGAAGATTATATTGTTTTTCTGTTACTCTTACATCAAAATCCATTTCATCAGAATATCTTAAACTATAAATTTGAACAACTACATTCCATTTATTATAAACACCGAATTCAGGTGCAATTTGATTTGCTACATATGCTAATGAAATAGAATTTATATTCGAAGTCATTCCTAATTCATCTTTTGCATAAACAACAATATTATAAAAATTATCATTATCTTCATTGAGAATAATTGTATTACTAACTTTTTGATAGATACCATAGCTTCGAATATTTGATATGAAAGGAATATCTATAGTTTCATTGATTCTATAAAATACCGTGACATTGCTATTGTCAAATACTCCTAAACTAATTGTAATATATGCAGGTCTATAATAAATAGATTTGACTGGTTGAAGTAAATCAATTTCGGGAGGAATATTGACACGAATATATCTCTGGTAGTAATTGGTTACTCGAGTTCCACCTACATTCTTACCATAAATAAATAAGTTATGATCATAGAAATCATCTGGTAAAATTATTTCAAGTTCAAAAATAGATGAGTTCATATTACTGTTGATATGAACATCAGCTGCAAATGTTTCATTTTCATTATCAAAATTATAATAAACTTTGAGTGTTGTTTCAGGAATATGATCATATGCAATTATATTGAGCTTGATTCTTTCATTTTGACCATATGATTCCTTGATTTTTGTTAATATATCAAAGTTAGGATCTCTCTTCATTTGAAATTCATGTTCAATTGGAGCTGATGTAGCGTTTGTTTGGTCTTTTGCCATTATATATATGTTATGATATCCATTCGTTTGAGGAACACGAATATAGTTGATAAACCTTTGTTCTCCAGAAAGACCTTCAAATGTTCTCAGTGTTTCCCAAACTGTATTATCAAATTTGTAGTACAATGTAACTGTATCACCTTCATCAATATCTTGAATTGTTCCATTTATTTGTAAGTTCTCTGAGAAGTGGTACAATTCTTTTGTCAATTTATCAATATGTAAAATCGGAGCATGTCTATTTAAGATTTCAAATTCTTTCTTCATTTTGACTGATTCAGATCCGAATTGGTCAATTAACTGGATTGCTAGAGAATGTGTTCCAATTTCCAATTCATCAGGAATAAATATATCTGTTTCCAGATGATAAGGTGTTGAATGATTTGTATTCAACCATTCTGTATTCCTGCAGATATTCAATGTATCCTCATCATAACAAAAGTAAATTCGGCTTTTCGTATCATCTGTAACATTTAATTCAAGATGCATATATTCACCATATGAATAGTCATGCTTGAAATTAATCCAATCATTCAATATTATTGGGCGATTAGTAATGATTGTATGCGATCCTCCATAATAAAACAAATATGTTGTTGATGCAGCATACGAAGGTAATGTAATATTATATCGGACATGTTCTGTTCTACATGATTCATTAAAAATCAAAACATTTGTTAGTTGATAGATGTATGATCCCCAGTAATCAAGTTGATATTGTTGCTGAATTTCAGAACCTGGTGGAGATCCAACAAAATATCCTGAGAAATTGACAACAGTTCCAGGGAGATAAGACTTTTGGATTGGTTCATCGAGCACAAACTTGATAATTGCATCAACTCTAAAGCTCATTACAATAACTTTTGCTTCTGCACCCGTACTATCAACTGCTTTTATAGAAACATTTTGATTATATAGAGTACTATTGATAATTAGTGTTGCAATAAAATTATGGTCAACTCCATTAGATTTTTCTTTAAATATTTCTTCATAATCATTATTATTTAACCTTGCGTATACAATTATATCATCATCAACATCAGCATCTTTAACTGTGATATTTATTAGAAGATCATTACCAATAGAGAATTTATTATCTTCATAATAAATTAGTTTAGCGCTAATTTCAGGTGCCCTTCTATTGTCAATTGTAAATGACTGTCTAACTGTTGTAAAAATATTTTTGTAATCCCATCCTTTTTCATACATTCTAATTTCTATGAAATTTTCACCAAATGGCAGGTTGCTTAATGGTAAATCAATTGTAAAAGTAATATTTCCGTCGTCATATGTTCCAAAAAGATATTTATAAACTGTCCAATCCTTATATTTGTATTCAAAGCCAACACGGATACCTGAATGATATGTTATTTTAATGGGAAGGAATGAACCTTGTGAATATATTTGGTCAAGTGGTTCCCATGAAATTATATAAGGCTCTCTGTAAACCCAGATTTTGTCTTCTTTGTATGTAATCGATTGTTTAATATTATGGGGATATACCCTTAGCGTAAATTTGTGAAACTTATCTTCCATTGGAATATCAAGCCCAAATATAAAATGATTGATATAATCATCTTTGGCGACAATTAATTCTGTTGCTTCTACATATGGTTCTTCATTAAATTGATACCAAACGCTCATAATAGTTCCAGGTATTACATCTGTTATATTACCTGAAACATTAACCTTTTCACCTCCATCATATGGCCTAGGCCTTGGTTCTAAAGTAAAGCTTATTTCCGGAGTTCTATCAATATGAAAATAAGTCCACCATGAATTTGATGCTCCAGTATTATCAACAATCTTAATTGTGAGTACTTGAAAACCTAATTCATATTTAGGTGGATTGAAAATAATTACTTTTTCGACCCATTCTCCATCTGAAACGAATTCCCATATAAGTTCTTCTCCGCTTATTTTGATCTAGTAATAATGTGGATCTTTTTTGTCTAACTTCTACATAATCAAAATATTCATTAGATTTTGTACCTTTTGAATCTTGTGCATAAAACTTTAAGTGGTGCATTGCATTTTTCATTGGGAAATAATATTTATATTCAAACGTATGATTCATTCTTTGAGATACATAGCTATTAATCAATATTGGATTTTGATCATCTTCTATAAAATACAAATCAACTGTTTCATTTAAATCATAATCTAATATGTCGAATTTGAACTCCAAAAACTTTTCATAGAATCCACGAGTATAATGTTTGATTTCTTTGAGAGATCTTAATATTGGAGCTTTATTACCTGAATACATGACATCCATTTCTATATGTTGGAAATATGGCCCATTAATCCAGAATCTAATTTTATGATATTGACCAGCAGTATAAAGATAGTTATACTCAAATTCATAAATAAAACTCTTGGTACTGTTATTTGGAACCCATGACTCGCCTATTTGTATGTCATGTCCTGATTCATCAAAAATACCAACTCGATAGTTGATCAGAGAAGGTATAAATTTCATGTGAAAAATTGTGAAATTCACTTTAATTTTTTCAAATAGGGAATATGAATCTTTTAATGGTTTTATTGATACTACCTCTGGTTTGTAATAAATGAATGCAGAATTTGAGAAAGATAACTCGGTAGATCCATCAGAAACCTTGATTGTATATTGATACTCACCTTGCTCAATAAATTCAGTAAAGAAAATCGGAATATTATAATAACTAGACATGTTTTCTGGGAAAGTATATAATAGTTCGTCTGATATCTCAAAATTACTTTGTTTTGCATATTTGTCCTTAAGATTCACTGAAAAATGCAGATTGTTTCCAGGAATGAGACCTTCAACTAGACACGAGAATGAAATTTCGCCTCTATATGTATATTTGTATTTATTTTCCGGGCATTGGAATTTTGGTGATGGTGTTGGCTCAGGTACAGGTGTTGGTTCAGGTACAGGTGTTTCAGTTGGAAATGGTGTTTGAGTTGGCCATGGTGATGGTTCCGGAATCGGAGTTTCTGTTGGCCATGGTGATGGCTCTGGATTTTCTTCATCTTCGCTTACAGTAATTGTAACATATAGAGGAAATACTTCGGAGGAAATACCTTCATTATTGACTGCCCACAAATAAAGTGTGTTATTTCCATCTGACTTTATTGATTCAATTTCTATTAAGTTATAATACATATTGTACTCGGATGCGTCATATTCAAAAAGCATAAATGAATCTCTTTCATTCCATCTTCCATAAACTGTAAAATTGCTATAATCAGGTGACAAAACTTGCAATATTACTGGTAGTTTTCGAGGATATTCTATTGATTCAACTTCATCTAACTCGGCTTCAATTGTAGGAACATTACCTGGATTTGTTATATTGATTGGAAGAACAAACTCATTTGAATTTAAACCTCGCGGTGTTGATAACCTGATAGATAGATTATGAACTCCATATTCAATTCTTGTTAATAAGTATTTATTGGTAAAGATTTCTTTGTTGTTCTCATATTCTTCTTCTGACATCCCAGAAGCTATTAATAATGATTTTGATGTGGTTTTGATAGGGATATATCGATTGTCCGGGGAATCATTTGTTGAACCTAAATCTGAAAGATATTCATATTTTGTATCATCAAATTTATAATATATTTTTGTATATTCACTTGTCTTAACATTCATGTCGATTATAAATAATGTAACATCAGGAATTGGCTCAAGGGTACAATTAATTATTTCTGGTTTACCATGAATCTCTATTTCAGCACATGTGGTGTATATATTTTCCGTTGATTTGAATATTGTTGCCATAAAACAAATATTTTCAATATTCTGAGCTAATTCGGAGTATTCGTAGTTTTCAGTTCTTTCACTTTCTGGTATTGTAATTTCAATTCTTCTAATGGTTATTTTTTCTGCAGTTGTTCTTGGACACCAATAACTTCCTTCCTGATCAATATATTCGTAATTTTCAAGAGAATTTAGATTTCTAACATCATGTAATTTCTTAGATGAATATCGAATCTCATATCTTATCAACTCAAGTGTCAATTTTTCACCAGGTACTCCTTCAACAAAATATGTAACATTAATATAATCACCCTTTAATATTATAAAGGGCATATACTCTGTTATTGATTTTGTTAGAAGTGTTACTGATGGACCCTTAAATTTAATTTCTAATTTTTTTACAATTGAAACTAATTCATGCTGATTCTCACAATAAAAGTTGTATTTTGTAAAATTCCCAACTAATTCAGGATTCATTTCAAAAGATTGTTCAAAAGAATAATTGAGATCACCTCCAATTTCGTTAGTTATTGATCCAAGCAAAATATAATCTTCATTAAGAATAGTTTCATCATCATTATTATAATTACCTACAGAATATTTTTGGTAATAAATTAATATTGTATCACCTATCATTGTATTTTGAATTTTGACATAATTTTGGATTGTCTTAGAAGTTCTCACATCAACATCTGAATAACCTATTGTCAAGTATGGAATTGTTATTTGATCAGTAATATTTACTGACACTGTTATAAAGGCATATAGTGATAAATCGTGAAATGCATAAATTGTCAATTTATTTAGACCCATAGAAAACTTTGATATTGGCTTTTTATAGACATATAAATCTGGACCATAAAAATATGAACTTTCTGATGTATCAAATCCATTGTTATCAATGTATGCATGAACATTTATCTCGAAATTGACATCAAAATTAATATGGACTTTGATTGCCACATCCCTATATGATGAATAGTTGCCTTTGACATCAAATGTAACCAACCCAGAATTTATGGGTTTGTCTGAATAATAAATAAATCCTGGTTCTGAATAATCAGTAATTGATGTACAAACATATATTATAATTCGTGGATTTATAGAATATCTATCTTCTGGCTTGCTTATATTCAAATATACTGTCTCATCATGGTCATTTTGATCATAAAATACACTCAGTAATAATTTCCTGGTTGTATCTTTAGAAAATACATAGTAATTCACATTTTTTGCGGTTGGAGTTATAGTTACAGGAACCATCATACCTTCATAAACTAAAGGATTTTCAATTTTTAATTTTGGCAGAGGACTAAGGTTTGTATCATCCATTATTCTAAACTTTTTAACCATTTTTTCAAACGGTTTTATATACATTGCATACCAGCCAAAAATTTGTTTTCCATAATAAAGTCTTCCACTTACATCATCATCATTTGAAAAAGAATTTTCATTTCCTTCAAGTGAATAAATATTGACAGGATCAGTTTCTGACAATATAAGCATGATGTTTGTTTGACGATCTGGACCAAGGTATTTAAATCCGTTACGATAACCAAGTTGATAAACTCTATCATCATATCTATATATAAATCCTTGGAAATATATGTAAAAATCCATTGTACGAGTTTCTGTGAAGTTATTTTCAATAACGTAAGTAATTTCAAGCTCATTTTCATTATTTGAAGTAATTTTATGAGTAACCGAGATTCCTTTATGAAAGAAATCGCAATTATTTGATTGATTATAGTACATTTTTTCTTTTCCAATTTTAATCATCGTAAAAAATCCATCATTATGTAATATTGAAGCATTATCCATGAATATATTGTATAAACTTAACTGATTTTCTGGTCTTGACCATGTTAAAATATGAGAAAAAGCTAAGTTTAATAAGATAACAAACATTTTATCAATTTGAGAGGAATTTTACGTTTATAGAAATCATTGAACGTATTATCGTAAAACTAATTAAGAATAATACAATGAAGTTGACTTGTTTTTAATTATTGAATTTTAGTAATTTTTCAAAATTCAATTTTTCAAAGCAAAGTTATTTTGAAAGTTTTATTTCTCATATTTAAAGTACTTCAACTTTTCGAATACATTTTCCTATTTATGCAATTCTTTTCCATGGAATTTTATTTTATATGAATTTTTGACGGTTTATTTCAAAAATGTTTTTTATATTGGATAAAAAATTATTATCTGTTACATTTCATCTTATGATTAATAATATTGAGATTCATATTTACCTCAACGTTGTTGTTTGCCTTTATGTGTGGAAATAACACTGCAAGATGCAACATCATTAATGTATTTCGAATGATAATATCTCAATCGAATAAAATTTGAGAGATCATAAGTGGTCGGCCTGGGCCTTAAAATATCTGTGAAAATAAAAATAGCAGTTTGCTATGATTGATCATGTCATATGAGTTATTTCCATCATTATATTAAGTATTGTACAGTTAGATCTAGTAAATTATTGCATTTTTTAGAAATCAAATTAAAAAGACCAAAGATTTGTTGGCTTAAGATAACCAACTCAAAAGAATGAAGTGTGAAAAACCATAACATAGCAAATTTAAATTAATTTATGAAAATTTGTTTTTGAATTATATCTAGTACCTAAACACACCAAAAACAAGTGATGCAGATAAAGACAAGACTTATTCCAAAAATGATTACCAAATTTGAATTTTTAGTTCTGGGAATCTTTCGTTTTCAAAACCATATGTTAAAAAACACCAAACAAAACAAGGTTCTCAGCCGTATTTTAAACTCAAAGGTCTTTTCCAATTGCTCAATTTTAATATTTGGTGCGTGTAAATTATTGAATTAAATTTAATTTTTGATATCAAGACGGAAATATTTTTGTAAATAAATTCCTATAGTCGTTTATTTAAATCATGCCTCGTCCCAATGATAAAATAGATGAGGATGATTCCGATACAACTATTTTGTGTGTTTTTCTACGACGTAAAAAGTCATTTCTTGACTCATTAGAAAAGATTCTAACTTCTACAGGAAATGACAGATTTATCATTCAAATGTTCGAAGATCCGAATTCAGCTATGTATGTTCCAGATAGAGTATGCGAATTAATTGAAAGATATTTAACAAATGAACGTGAATTGCACATTAACGAACTTTACCAAAGAATCAGAACTTACGAAGCTTGCTTTGGACCTAAAAAAGCTAAGAAAATCGAATCTATTGGCACTAAAATTCTCGAACAAATGGAAGTCAAGAACTTAAATCCACCAGTTAACCAAGATGAAATCAAAAGATTGCGTAAAAACTTATACATTTTAAATTCAGATTCGGATACAACTGCTATACCTACCGATAGGCTAAACGAGTTAAAAGAGCAAATTGATTCTTTAAAAATTTTCATTAACGATTCGAAAGCTTCAGTTCATACATTTCATGAAGATATAATACGAAAACTATACCAAACTAAACATTCTTTATCAATTTCGGTTGAATCTTTTCTTCAAGAATCCAATGGAAAAGCTTCAAATGCAATTGCTGGGTATAAATCAATGGAAAAGAAGTTTAAATCAGAAAATTCTAAACTACAAGCAAGGTATCAAAGCGAAATCGATCAACACGTTCAAAATGAAATGAAATACGAAAAAGAAATTTTGAAAATGAGACAGAAGTATGAAATACTTACCCAACAGAGTAACACGCAACAAAAAGAAATAGAAACGTATAAAAATAAGATAATGCAATTACAAAATTCAAATGAAAGCAAAAATCAAATTATTAACGAAAAATCTCAACTCGAGAAAGAAATTTCGCAATTGAAAATTGATATTAAAGCAAAAGATACTCAAATACAAAAGATGCTCGAATCTCAATCGAATAAAAACGAATTAGATAATTCATTACAATCTGCATTGGCAAAATCTCGTTTACTTAATACAAAAAGAGCAGAACAAGTACATAAACTAAAGGAAGCTCTTAAAAGCTTAAGCATGGAATACGAAAACGTTTCTCACGAATTATCTTTAGCAAGAGCAGATTCCGAACTAACAGATGTAAAACTGAACAGAGTTGCTCAATTCGAGAATGAAAAACAGAAGTTTTTAAACAGAATTACAGAATTAGAAACAGAAAAAGATTCATTAGAAAGAAAAGTCAATGAATTTACAAACGAGTCAATTATCTTGAAAGAAGATAACGAAAGGATGAGAAAGATGATGAAGAATTCAAGTTTGGAAAATCTTAAAACAGGAAATTTGATTAATGTAATTGACCAATTGAATTCTAAAATAAATGAGAATGAAGCTAAAATAGCATCCCAACAAAATGATATTGACAACCTTAAGACACAAAATGATACTCTTAAACTTAAATATCAAATTCAAGAACAGAAAAATAAAGAAAGCAATGAAACAATTGATAAACTAAAGAAAGAATTAAATGATGTCAATAATGAAATTACTGAAAACCAAAAATCAATTAGTCAATTAAATTCAAATTCAAGAAAATACGATATTCAAGTCAATGACTTGAAATCTAAGCTTGTTGAAAGCGAGAATAAGTGTAAGGAACTTGATAATGCTCTCAAAGAGAAAGAATTCACAAAAACAGAAACAGATAAAGAATTAGAAAAACTAAAAGACGAGAACGCTCAACTCAAGACGAAGAACAAGATACTCCAAGATGATATTGAAAGTGTTAAAGATGATTTGAACCAAAAGAACTCAGTTTTGAAGGACTTTTTGACAGCAGATGAATCTCAAAAATCCCAAAACTCGAAATTAATGAATGAATATGTTCTTTTACAAAGAACTGCAGGAACAATCAATGCGCAGTTAAGATCTGCACAAAGAGACTTGAAATCCAAGGACCAAGAACTCGAAATTGCCGCAAAAAAGGTTGAAAATCTGAAAGAAAGATTGAAATCAAAGGATGATTTAACGAAACAATTAAAAGTTAATTTGGATGAAACATCAAAACGTTTGAATTCTTTGATTACTCAACAAACTGAGATGCAACAAATGGTTGAAGAAATGAAAGAAGAAAACAATTTATTAAGAGACAAAATAGGCCAAGCAAATACAAATTGTGCAGCTTTACAGGACCAATTAACTCAAGAATCGCTTGAGAAGGACAAAATGAAGAAAAATATCAGAGAAATGAAAGAAAAACAGATGTCAGATTATGCCAAATTTGAGAAGAAAATTGAAAATCTTCAAAACGAAAACACCCAACTTAACAGGAAGAAATCAGAAGATCAGAACACAATAGAGAAACTCCAGTATACAATATCAAAACTAGAAAAAGATAACCAACAGAAAGATGATGAATTACAATTCGAAAAAGAAAAATTCCAACGAGAAATGAAACGAAAAGATGATTTGATAGATTTCGAACGCGAAAAAAGTGACAAATCATTTTCAAGATCACAAGAATTATTAGATATTGAGAAAGCAAGAATGACACAAGAATCATCAAGATTGTTACAAGCTAAAGACAGTCAAATCGCTGCATTGACAAAGCGATTAAGTGATGAAGAGAAACACAATCAAGATTTGGAAGAAGTCATCAGAGATGGAGCAAATATAGTTCAGTTACAACTAACAGAAGTAATTGACAAAAACAATGCTTTGAAGAAAGATAAACAGAAACTATTAAATGAGTTAACAAAAGCAAATACATTGGTTGAAGCCATTGGAGCAATCATGAATACAAAAGAAAAAGAGAAATTACCAATTGTCATTGATGAAGCGAAAAGAAAGTCAAATCAAAATGATGAAGTCAAGAAACTCTTTGGATTCACAGACAATTCAGATCTCGTTGATGATATGAGAGATGTTAAGAAGGCATTAAAAGTTTTGACAGAAAGAAATACAAATCTTTTAAGTCTTTTCCCTAATGCTAATGATACAAATCTTGTTGACGCAGTTAAAATCCATAAAAAAGCTGTTGATGATGTTTCTAAATTGTTCCCAAGTCCTTCTGTTGATGACTTGGCCAATGTTGTTTCTGATGTTGTTTCGAAAGTAAACACTGCAACAAAAATTTTAGGTGTCACAAAAAGTGATGATTTAGGATTAACATTGAAACAATTAATTAAACAAAGCAAGGATTTGCAGAAGACAAATGACAAGCTTCTTGAAGTTGCTGGTTGCAAGAATATTGATGAATATAACACTGCTATAAAGAAATACAAAGCGAATAATGAAGTTTTAAGAAAGTTGTTGCCAGGATCAAAAGATCCAATGGGCGAAATGGCATCAATTAAAGGAAAATATGATAAAATATCTGCTATTCTTGGAGGTGATGAAAATGCAGAAGATAATGCAATGATGTTCAATATAATCAAACCAAGAATTGATGAAATCCAAAAGATATTAGGAGGACCATCAGACAGATTGATCTTCAGAGCTAAAGAACTCGCAGAAGCAGAACCATACAAGAAGAAATTTGTGGACATTGCAAGCAAACTTGGTGGCGAACAGAATGTCAAGAAAGCTGTTGATGAATTGATTGAATTAAAGGAGATGACAGATCAATTAACAGGAGGAAACATCAAGGCAATTGATAAACTCAGAAATTACATTACTGAGCACAGGAAACTTGAAGAACAACATTCACAGATTTTAGATATTGTTTATGATCCATATGGTGATAACATTTCTAAGGCAGTTGAGAATCTCAAAAGCGACTTGAAGAGTGCAGCAGAGTTATTTGAAAAACTTATGGCTGTTTTAAGTGGTTCAGAGAAACCTCTATTCAAGTTCAAATTCCCATTAGATCCTGCTGTTCGAGACAATTTGATTGTTCTTATTGGACAATTCAAAGTTGAAACAGAAGAAACTACGAGAAGAATCAACTCAATCTTAGGTGAAGCTCGAAAAGATGGTTATGTCGGAACAAACATCATCGAAGCAGTCGAATTCATTTCTCATGCAAGAATGGACGAAGCTCGAGATGAAGCAACGAAATCATTCCAAGCCGAAGTATCCTCATTGCGAGAAAACTACGAAGTTATTGTTAAGAAATCCGATGATGAAACCAAACGATATATCAAGAAAATCGAAGATATTTCAGCTACATTAGATGAACAGAAGACAAAAAGTATCGAACATGAAAAAGAAGTCTTATTGAAGGTTGAGAAAGCAAACAAAGCAGCACGCACTGCTACAAGTAACTTGGATAAAGAAAAGAGAATCAAAGAAGAACTTATTCGAATTATCAGTGATAAACCATTCGATATTGAATTCTTGAGAGCTAATTTATCTGCATCTGAATTCAAAATCATTCAAACCACTTCAAAAAGTGGATTCACAAACTAACTTTTATTGATTAATTTCATTTTGTTATAAAATATGTTTGTTTTAAAATTTTATTCTTAAGAAAATTCTGATAAACTCAGGAGAAACAGATCCTTCATCAATTTCGAACCGTTCTAAATTCTGTTTTACATCAGATGTTATAGGTTCTTGTAGAAAATTAAAAAGTGACTAAAAATCGAATAACGTGACGTTTTTATTCCTATAATAACAAAAATCAAGTAAAATTATGTAAAATTAATTTTTTTATAATGATATTTTGAAGATATAGACCATGTCCGTAATGAAAATAGTATTTGGTTAGTAAAGGAAATAGATAGCATTGGTAAGACTATTGACTAAATAGTTAGTTCGGGAAAAATTAGAATTGCAATTTGAGCTAAGTTCGACTTGGAATTAAGGATGCAGAATACACTACATCTCAAAAAATATAAATCCTTCGACAAAAATATTAAATGATTCAATTTCACAAATGAAATTTCTAAAAATCATCAACAATACCACCATTTTATTAGTCTAATATATAAAAACTAAAATGTAGTGGTTTATTTGCTTTTCATTGTTATCAGCGAATTTATACCTTATTATGTAATTTTCCAAATTGACTTCCTTACTCATATTAAAGATATATAGTATACATTATATACCACGGCGTTTTTTTCAGACATTGGTCATCAATGAATTGAAATAAACAGAACAAATAACGGTTTGTTATATTAGCATAAAAGGATCATTGTCATTTAAAAAATAAATTGATTATTTATCATATTATGAGAAAAATTGAATGGTGTGAAACGGCTTTCAAGTTGGCTCATAATATGAAATTCATGAATCAGATTGTGAGCGGAGCAAAATTTATCTCGCAAATTTTGTAAAGAGAAATTGCGATCAAGTTTTTGAATCAACTCATTCAATTAATTATATGAACTAAAATATTAAATTGTTTCGAGCATTAATAATTAATCATATATTCATATTTCAACAGGCATTCCAACATGAATCATTTGGTATAAATATATATTCAACAAAGGAAATCAATAAACAAAGCATTCTGCAATTTCAACAAAGTTTTTCGAAATATTACGATACAGCCGATTATACTGAGAAAACTAAGAACGAAACTATATCAGAAAAAGGAAATTATTACATTCATCATGTATTATTTTCATTCCATCAACAAAATGGTGCAATTAACCTTAGTAATACAAATAATAGTATAATCAACAAAACATTACTTGAAACATGCACATTTTATAACAATAGCTCTACATATTATAGTGGATCACTCTATATCTCTGGATATGAATGTGTTTTAGTACATAATTGTTTTTTAAATTCGTATTCCGCTAAATTAGGATGTGCATATTACATTGGATCTTTTAGTTACAATGCCACCAAAAGTTATGCATTTGAATGTTCAGTTTCACAATGTAGTGGTTCTGCAGCTCCATTTTATCATTCTTATCGAGATATCCAAATAAGTAACATGAATACATCTTATCACAAAAAAATTACAACGCATCCTGCATATGTAATTGAATTATCAAAAGAAACAAAAATTATTAATTTCACAACAGCTTCAAATACATCCTCAGATGCAGGAGTAGTAGTAAACAATGGCGATAACCTTGTAATTACAAGATGTAATTATTTAAATAATGAATATAAAGGATATGATGAAAATTCTGCAATAATTAAAAATCCTAATACAACTACATATTCAAATTGTTCATTCATAAAAAATAATGGAAACTTTTTATTTTCAAATTTATACGATTTACTAATAATCAATATTATATCCTCATAAATAGCAATATATTTTGGTAATCTATGATAATCATATACAATATTTGAAATCAAATTTTCATTAGTTTAGGTTCCTTGTTAATAGTAAACCATTATATTTATTACTAATAATAAAATCTATGTGTCGTATTGAAATTCCATAAAATTACTTATTCGGTCCAAAAAAACAAATTAGATAAAATTTTTCTTTTTTTTATGTAATTTTTGTAGGGATGCGACGGTTTTACGCCATGACCGTTTAAAAATAGAATAATACGCCATTTTTGGGACCGAATGGCGGGTACGAAGTAGCCGCCATTCGGCCGAATAACAAAACAATACAAAATTATTGCCGTCCTTTTTTTTTCTTTCTTTCTTTCTCTTTTTTTCTCTCTCTCTCTCTTTCTTTTCTCTTTCCTCTTTTTACTCCTCTTTCTCTTTTCATCATTAAACGTAGAAAGATATATTAATATTATTTTAAAAAAAGGTGACCAAACTATTTTTTGAAAGTCCGCCATAACTTTAATGGTACTATTTCAGCGTGTACAATGAATACAAAAATTCTAAGAGTGCCACATAAAATAGTACTTTAGACTTGAGTTAATGCTACCAAGCAAATGTTAAAAAGATGACTTTAGTGTTTTGATAATCAAAGATTAAAATCATTATTGTCTAAATCAATAATCATAACGACAGAAGTTAATGTTTTTTCATCAGTGCTTTAAATCCACTTTTAAAAGTATACCTCAAAAATCAAAATATCAAAAAAAATTGGCCGATAGGTTTGGCTTTAATTTTTGTCTGCTTTTATGATTTGATATGGATGTTAGAATTTTAAAAGTTGAGCCAAATTCACCAATAGATTTTTGAGATTTGCAAATACTCAATAATTTTCAACGTGTTATCTTTTATTAAAAGAACTATTTGGTTTCAGTATCATATAAATTGATATTTACTTTCTATTTGAACCTTCATTTAGCTAATGATTTAATAATACAGATTTCATTTAGTCCTTATAAGAGAATTTTGAATTTGTTATAATAAAAAAACAAACAGATATAGCTTACACTTCTATAATAAAGATACCTTTTATAGAAATCAGTATGAAATGTGTTTTGGCTTATTGGAAGCATATCAGACATAATCGCCATAATCAAAAAATCTATATACCCAATAAGTAATAAATTTGTCGATATAGATTTTCTATAAAATTAGTTTTTAGTCTGATCTTAAAATAAATTTAATTTTTTATAAAAAAAATCACATTTAAAAGTACCTTTTTAGTAGCTCGAAATCCTGTTGGTGGATTTCGGGCGTACTTCAAAATTAGCTTTTCTTCTACATATGCAAGCTATATTTTAAATATGGGGCAAATCGGATCGGCGAAAGGAGTTTAGTTACCTTTTTTTAAAATTAAAAAAAAATAAAGAAAGTATAATAAGTAATTATTTAGTTATCGATAAATATATGTAAAATGATAATCTGAGGATAATCTGAGGAGGAGGAGTCTGAGGATTAGACCGAGGAGTAGTTTGAGGAGTTTGATGATAATCTGAGGAGTTTGAGGAGTTTGATGATAATCTGAGGAGTTTGAGGAGTAGTCTGAGGAGTAGTCTGAGGTGTTTGAGGATAATCTGAGGAGTAGTTTCAGGAGTTGTCTGAGGATAATCTGAGGAGTTTGAGGATAATCTGAGGAGTTTGAGGATAATCTGAGGAGTTTGAGGATAATCTGAGGAGTTTGAGGATAATCTGAGGAGGAGTCTGAGGATTAGACCGAGGAGTAGTTTGAGGAGTAGTCTGAGGAGTTTGAGGAGTAGTCTGAGGAGTTTGAGGAGTAGTCTGAGGAGTTTGAGGAGTTGTCTGAGGAGTAGTTTCAGGAGTTTGAGGAGTAGTCTGAGGAGTTTGAGGAGTAGTCTGAGGAGTTTGAGGATAATCTGAGGAGGAGTCTGAGGATTAGACCGAGGAGTAGTCTGAGGAGTTTGAGGATAATCTGAGGAGTTTGAGGATAATCTGAGGAGTTTGAGGAGTAGTCTGAGGAGTTTGAGGATAATCTGAGGAGTTTGAGGAGTAGTTTGAGGAGTAGTCTGAGGAGTTTGAGGATAATCTGAGGAGTTTGAGGATAATCTGAGGAGGAGTCTGAGGATTAGACCGAGGAGTAGTCTGAGGAGTTTGAGGAGTAGTCTGAGGAGTTTGAGGAGTAGTCTGAGGAGTTTGAGGAGTAGTCTGAGGAGTTGTCTGAGGAGTAGTTTCAGGAGTTTGAGGAGTAGTCTGAGGAGTTGTCTGAGGAGTAGTTTCAGGAGTTTGAGGAGTAGTCTGAGGAGTTGTCTGAGGAGTAGTTTCAGGAGTTTGAGGAGTAGTCTGAGGAGTTTGAGGATAATCTGAGGAGGAGTCTGAGGATTAGACCGAGGAGTAGTCTGAGGAGTTTGAGGATAATCTGAGGAGGAGTTTGAGGATTAGACCGAGGAGTTTGAGGATAATCTGAGGAGGAGTCTGAGGATTAGACCGAGGAGTAGTTTGAGGAGTAGTCTGAGGAGTTTGAGGAGTAGTCTGAGGAGTTTGAGGAGTAGTCTGAGGAGTTTGAGGATAATCTGAGGAGGAGTCTGAGGATTAGACCGAGGAGTAGTCTGAGGAGTTTGAGGATAATCTGAGGAGTTTGAGGATAATCTGAGGAGTTTGAGGAGTAGTCTGAGGAGTTTGAGGATAATCTGAGGAGTTTGAGGAGTAGTTTGAGGAGTAGTCTGAGGAGTTTGAGGATAATCTGAGGAGGAGTTTGAGGATTAGACCGAGGAGTTTGAGGATAATCTGAGGAGGAGTCTGAGGATTAGACCGAGGAGTAGTTTGAGGAGTAGTCTGAGGAGTTTGAGGAGTAGTCTGAGGAGTTTGAGGAGTAGTCTGAGGAGTTTGAGGATAATCTGAGGAGGAGTCTGAGGATTAGACCGAGGAGTAGTCTGAGGAGTTTGAGGATAATCTGAGGAGTTTGAGGATAATCTGAGGAGTTTGAGGAGTAGTCTGAGGAGTTTGAGGATAATCTGAGGAGTTGTCTGAGGAGTAGTTTCAGGAGTTTGAGGAGTAGTCTGAGGAGTTTGAGGATAATCTGAGGAGGAGTCTGAGGATTAGACCGAGGAGTAGTCTGAGGAGTTTGAGGATAATCTGAGGAGGAGTTTGAGGATTAGACCGAGGAGTTTGAGGATAATCTGAGGAGGAGTCTGAGGATTAGA